GTTGGTTACAATTTTTATTTTGAAGACTGCATGGTCTAGGAAGTGTACATTTTTTTATGGGGCAAGTTTCCAAGGGCGGGTTTTCTAGGGGCGAGTTGACTGCCAAAGAGTGTTGCCAAAGTGCGAGCCAACATGTTATTTGATCACAAGTGCGAGACATCACAAGTGTGAGCCAGCGAACGATGACGTCACGACAATAGATACGATACGTTAACGAGTTGTGCGAGGTATTGGCTGAGATTTGTGGAGTACAATTCAAAAAACAACTATAGATCTAATAATGTATTATTGTGATGTTAAATAGACAATGTTAGCTATCAAGGAGCGACGTTGTTTTTCATTGGAACCTTCGTTCCTTCAAGGCTAGGCCTATAATACCATCCTAGCTAATCTAGGCCTAGAGTAGGATAAGGCTAGCGCGACATGTGGACGTTGGTACGAGTAGGTTAGTCTGCAAACGTTGCCTAAAGTAATTGATTTTACCCGGCAGAACGAAAGAAGGAAACTCCGCTTTTCAGTCGTCTTTAGGCCCTTGTTTTTTGACAAACAATGACCTTTCAGAGGTCAAATTACTGTCAAGAATATGAATTGGCTGCTTCGCAGCAAATATAAACATCATACTGTATATACACAATGTAATATTAATAATAATGGTGATGATGAAAAAAATTACATAAAGTAATAATTATTAAACATATTAATTTTTATTAATAAAAAAACAAACACTATTATAGAGTTAATGCTTTGCATACTACACAGTAAATGTTTGCATAAAAATGATGGTAAACAGAAATAAAGTTATAGAATTAACTCACCCATGGCAGTGCCTTGTCCAGAACAATCATAAAAATTAGAAAAGAAATACCAGTCAGTTAATAATGGTCTATAGTATAAATAAAGTAATCATTTATTTATTTATTATAAAAAAAACACCAAAACAGGCAGCCCACAGGCTGTCAAACATGATTACATTTACGTTGAGTACTCGAAAAGGTCCCTCAGTTGGGACATCGAGAAAAAGGCTTACTTTATATGTTTGAACGCATCCATGACAGATAAGCAGAATCATTAGGGACACATGTATCCAACAGTACCGTAAATAATGTTATAAACAATTTGTTTTTATATTACAACAAACATACTTTCATATGCCATTTTGGTTGATAATTATAAACGATATCCTAGTAATACAATGTTTCATACAAAATCAGTTTAGTGGCTTATAATTATTGGTGCTTGTTATCAATAACATGAAAATAATAACAAGTGGTTGTAACGGGAATTTAAATTGCCTGGCCTGGATGACAGGCGAGCTCCGCTACACTTCAATCAAGGCAACCACAGACAGGCTAGGCCAACCCTCTAAGCCTATTTCAAAAAGAGAACTTACCGTATTTAATATCACATCGCATCATTCTTCCATACGATCCAAAAACCTCTTCGACGTCTCTATATCTAGTTGATTTACCCAAACGTCCAACAAAAAGTTGAGCAGGTCCATCTCTGGACATATTGACAGTCTTTTGCAGAATAATCCAAAATTGCAAAATTGGTTGATTGCTGTACCGTATATTTTTTGTGCACAGCAAGGTGGACAGTGAAAATGAAAACAAAAAAAAATCTACAGCGTTTGAAAGGTCGCCCTCATTAGTTATAAACTTAGTCTCCAACTAGTCGTCTCGCAAACAAAAGTGATATTAATCTGTAAAATCAATCAGGAGAGCTGAGAGCTACCAATGGCAATGATGAAGAGTAGTAAGTCTAGAAGTGTATTATAAAAATGGATTTATAGACCTTCCATCTCTCACAGAAATATCAATATGAATTGATAAAAACGGCCAATACCCATACAAGATGACAGCCATCATTAAGGGACAGATCATAAAGCATTTATCTAAGTAAGTTGTGTTTATGTTTGTTATTCACACACCACTGGTTTTGCTATGGACGGTGTGACAGGTAAATCCTCCCAATCGGCCTAGCTTCTTGGTTGGTGGAATTTCCTTTGGTGCATAATGCATCATCATTGCTGGTTCACTCTGTCCCCTTGGCCTAGTCTAGTTGTGTTGCTTTACTTTTTACATACAGTATAGGCTAGGCCTATAGGCTATACCAGATTCCATATTGAAAATTTTTATCAATTTAGTTAGCGTGGCTTATAGGCCTACGTGAACATCGATAGCCTATTAATTAAGTATTATATTACTATTTAATTAGTAGGCCTAGCCTGTGCCTAAAAATAGATGTTAAAATAACAATCAACTTGGCCGAGTTGACTGTGGCCGAGTTGACTTGTGGCCGAGTTGACCTGCACCCGTTTTTTCGACCCTGAGTCCTTTTGGCACTGCATCATTTTCGATTTTACATCAATACTTTTTTTTTCTGTAAATGAGATCCATTTACAAGTATAATTAGTTTCCCGTATCATTTTTGAGTATTTTTTGGTAGTGCTGATTATGCCGGCGCCGGCAAATAATATGTCAACATCGATAATGTTGGTCTATTTCTCTGATTGGCTATATGTAAATTATGACATCATCAAACCAAGACCGCCTCTAATGAAGGATCGGGAAAAATACATCCAAAACACCATGACTGATGAATGTCTGCAGACTGGTGATTGTTTTTTTGGATGTCAAAACAAAAACAAAGAATTTGAAGAAAACCGAAAAAAGAAAGGCTGAGAAAAAGAAACTGTGTATAAAGACACTGACGAACAGAGAGAGATTTCAGTGCTGACAGTGACAGACAATTGGGCTTAGTGTAGATCGATTAGACCTACTGTACCTTCTTGCCACCCTAGGGCAGGCTAGACAAACTTAGATCCATCCAATCACCACGACCTAAGCTAGTGATGATGAGAGATTCATTCCACTGTAGGGCGGATGTTTGGTGGTGCAGTTTCTTGAAGTCCATCACACAATGATCGTCTTTATACTGGGACTGCTCTGGCCGAGATAAACTGTAGGCCTATATACTTACTGTACAGTACATACTTGCTTGATGTTTTTGGGTCGGTTGGTAAGCTTTTAGCTTATACTGTATGACCCATCCAAAACTTCTTACATGATTCATCAACAATAGACGTTTGTGGTTTCAGTGAATGAAAGTTCTTTAGCCCATAAAATTTAATAAAAATAAAATGATTATAATTGTCACAATGTCTATCAATGTCAATCTTAGTGTTATTAGTGTTTTTTTTTTAAAATGTTATTTTCTATAAGTACGAGAATAAAAATTTACAATTTAGGTTTATGTTACATCATCACTGATACACAGTGTAATTGTAGATAAGCCTTGTATTTTTTGTAGGATTTTGTAAATTCAGATAGTTATACAGTATATTCGAAAAGTTTGAATGCCTTATGTTTTGAATACAGTCAATAATTTTGGGACCCTCTTAATCAGTGGCAGCACTCTGGGGAGAAAAACCACAATTCAAACAGAAAAAAACTATTTTTCTACATATTAATTGTAGACTCTAAAATCTTGTGCAGGGTTCTAACATTGACAGTAACAGCACAATACTGAATTCAAACAAAGAGACCAGGAAACTATAAACAACTGAAACATAATAACTAAATAAAAGAGATATTTCCTACAAATACAATGTTCCTGTATTGAAATAGTCTTGTATAATTTTTTTTTCTTCTGAAAATAAATAAAATGAAGAGTTTTGGCATTATCTAATTTTCTACAGAAGACAGATGTCATTCAGGACTTTTGGCCTAGGTTGCTTTAACATTCAAACCCGGGTGGTTTTCGGCCGAATCGACCCGAGTTGAATCAAATCAGGGCCGAAACAACCTGAATTCTTAGCGAGATACCACGATAACAGTTAATTTTAGCCCCTTTCGTTGTCATGGGATGATTATAGAACTTATAAAAGCGCCTCCATACAGCTGCTAGGTAGTCACGGACCATTCCCATTTAATAATAATAATAATATCACAAATTTATATGACGCAAATTCCAAATAAGATCAAATGCGCAACGCATGTGAAATGCCCCCGGAAAACAAATATGTCTTAAGCTATGACTTAAAGTTGCAAATAGAGTTGGAAGAAGTTATGTAATTTGGAAGTTGGTTCCAACATATGCAGTTCATCACAATGACGATGCATATCATGGAAGGGTTATTCTTCTAACTTTACATAATTGTTACTATTCTTTTGGTACAGTGATATTTTATTTGATTTTTTCTGTATTTTTACATTCAATTTTTTTTTTTCACCTTATAGGTTTGCCAAAAACTTATCAGGGGATCGCATACGCTTGAGTACCCTGAAAGGAGAGGGAAACCTGAGTGACTTGGAGCTAGATGAAGATGCCCTCATGGACTTGCTTGAGCTTCCATCTTGGATGGTCCTTACAAAAGCTGTCTGCAATAAAGTATCTGTCAAGGTATATTACAGATTTAATAATGTCAATAAGTAAAAGGTACTGTCTGTGAATACTATGTTACCAGTGGTGGATTCAAGTGTGGGGAACCACTCTCCTCCCCCTTCCCCCTTCTAATTAAAAAAAATATATAGTCTCTTGTGCCATTTCAGGCCATCTAGTGGTGCCATAATCATTATATTTCTATGGCCTGCTTAGGTTATGCACAAGACTCTTAGATCCGTGAACTGCGATGTTGACACACTAAGATTTCTGGGCTAGCAAAGGTTTTACCAGGGTTTGAATTTTTCCCGACAGCAGTTGCTGTAGAAACGGCCTTCCACTGCTGTGGTAAATCCCTGGATTGACAGCAAGCTTATAATAGCTGTTGAGTTGCAACCCAGGCTCGGCCTAGCAACGGATTTTACCCATTACAGTAAAAGCAATAAAAAAATCTGTTGATTGTTGCTGTAGAAGATGAATAAATTGCTGTAGTATTTAGCCATAGCCCACAACAACTATTTGCTGATGGAGCATTTTGAAGAAATTCAAACACTTTCATACTGATTGCATTGTAAGTTCTCCATGCCTACGTTCATACACAACTCGCCTTCACATTTAACGGTATGAACCCAGTGAGTCGCCTGGGGCCCTACAACCCACCCTCATTCATGCTTTGTACAGTAAATTCAGTGGGTAGTTAGAAGGTCGCTCACTAAATTACTCGCCAGTCTGTGGGCCCGTTCCTGACTTGTTGTTTTCATCCTCAGCCTGGTTGTATTGTTTTTTTAAGTTTTTGCACTAATTGATTATTTGGGCTCTATTAAAGCCAAAGCCCAGCTCTTCCAGCTTCGTAATTATCAGCCCGTAGGTTCCTCCTTGTCCCATCAAAACCTTCTTGTATCTGGGCAGATGTTTTTTCAATTACCCCCGTTATACTACCTTTGAATTATATTCCCGCTAACATTCAACAGGTAATAACATAAGCATGAACGGGCCCCATGTCACACCAACTATATATCACATGACCGGCAGTAAACAAACCTCATAGAATGTGTCTACTGTTGATATTTCATCAGTTGCTCCAGCTCATCTGTGATAAACAGATCAATTGAAATCAACAATTAAAAAGAACCTGCCTAAATTTGGTAATATGCAATTTTGTTCGAGTGTTGACCAAAAAGATAAACTGTACTTGCATGATAAAATATCCTCTTCAATGAATTGCTGGATTGGTTATTACTTGTATGGGTACAGAGTCAAAAAAAGAAATGAAATGTATCAGGCAAATTTACCTACATAATACTTTAAAAGGCACATTTTATCACATGATTTAATACAGATTTTGGTTTGAGAGCAATGTATAGTTTGTGCTGTTTATTGTACAGTATATTAGTGTCGGTAACAGCTTTGGCTCAAATAACTGCCAAAAAGCATTAGATAAAGTAGGTTTGCCTACAGCAGCAGCTGTTTCATTATTAAAATACATTGTGTCATGTGGAAAACAAAACAGTAATACTTTCGATTACTGTACTTGAACAGTTAACTCCTGATAGGCCTACAGTGTACCTATTTTGTATAACCATGGTATAACCTTCTCTTTTTGTATTGTTTTTTTTCTTATTGTCTTATGTTTATTGTGGGTTTCAAGGTTTTTTGTTCTACAGTAACTGTCTTCATGTGGGAAGTTTGCTTCTGTTTAGTTTTGGCAGTGACTATTACTGTACTTGCTGTGGGTTTAGAGGTGTGATGTGTAATTCCGTGTGCTTTCTGCATAGAAAGGCACAATAATTCAATAGAATGGCAGATTAGTGTCTGTCTATAAGATCACCAGGTAGTACTAGTCAACAAATCAGGATGTTGGTGTTTGTTGATAAAACTGAAGTCTTTAGTCAATATGTACATTTTATTATCAAGGGTTCATCTTTCAAAATTGCATGTAATAAGATACAAAAAAGAAAAATACATAAAAAGTATTTTAAAAAAAGAGATAAACACATTGAACATTATAGAGTATAATTTTTTTAAATTATTACAAGACAATTATTGAATTATTATTTATTTAATTAAGCTAAAACATTAAAACATATTATACTGTAGTTCTTGGAGTTACCATCAATGTTCAACATCCAACTGGCCTCTTTAATTGGATCATCAAACTCTACTGTTAAATGTATGCAGTACCAATTTAAGATACAGGTTTAAATTGTATTGGCGATGATTATTAATTTATT